TTCACGAACAGGATCGGTGCTGCTGCCGGGCTGGTGGAGGGGACTATTTTGCCAGAGGCTAGCATTTCGTCCAAGTACTCCCGGAGTGCCTTTTGTTCCACTGGGGAGAGCGCATAGATCGGTCCCCATGGAGGCTGCTTTCCTTCCATAAGGGGAATGGTATGGTCCCACTCAGAGTGATCAGGTAGTCGATCGGCTCCCTCCTTAGAGAAGACGTCGACGAAGTCCTGGTACTCCATTGGTATAGCACTAGCGAGAGTCTCGCCTACCGATGCCCTTGCCCAGAAGGGGTGTTGCTCGATCATCATCTGTGTCTCTGGTGACGACCTCAACAGCCTGATGACCAGCTCTTCTGGGTCTTCTTCGTATATATCATACATGGTCCTGAAGCATCTCTTCACTTGACAATTGATGTTGTCGAAGGTGACCCTGTTCTGACCCCAATGTATGGTAGGTTGATGCTCCTTGAGCCATCGATGTGGTATAACGAGGTCTTCCCCTGCGAATGAACCAACCTCACAGACGATGTCTCTGTCTAGATGGTTGCCGACGCGGAGGGTAAGAGATTGGGTGATATGAGTACCGGAGTTAGGCATAGGGGTACCGTCAGCCTGTCTGATGATGAGGGGCTTGGGTCGAGGTTGAGTTGGGATCTTGAGACGGTGGACACAGTTCCAGGACATAACCCAGTCCTCTGTTCTGCTGTCTAGGAGTGCGTTGACTATTTCTGCATGTTGGGTACTAGTTGCGGGGTGGTTCCAAGAGATCTCAATCTCAAGGCGGGTTTCTTGGTTGTGTGAAGACATATTCGTATGTTTTGAAAGTGTAAGGTACGGTAGATTGTTCTTGGGTGTGAGTTGGTTGATGTTGATAGTTCTTGTTCTGAGCGCGGGGCGAGGGAGTTTATATAGACAATTTGAGCGTTTGATAAAGATCATAGTATAACGCTTACGCACCAGGCGTTTTTTCGGAATGTGACCCCGTTTCTCAAAATGTATGTAAAGAGAATTTAAATTGCGCAAAATAACAAAACCGATAGAACATAACATAACCCGATCCCTTAGAAAAGTTTTTCCCCAAACAGAATAAAAGCCGTAACACAACATAGAATGAAACACCGCATAAAATAAAAATACCCAATCAATTTAGTTCTCCAAATTCGTAATCCTTGCCCTAAATGCCTCATTTTGTGGCCCCAATTTCCGTTTCTTATCACCCTCCCTTCCGTGGTCCTTTCTCCCGGAAGGATATTCTTTTCTCTTCAGGTTCGTCAACCTGACCTTACTCGTCGCCACGCAATCCTTTACGAAATGGTTATCTCTACCACAACGGAAACACTTTCCTTCCTTCTGCCATTTCTCCTTTTCTTCTCTGGTGACACCTAAGTCATCCGAGGTCTTGGAGTTGTTGGTCGATGCGGGGAAAGTTTTCCGAGGATTTGCGTTGTTGCGCGATTTCCGCCGTTCCGTTTTTTCCTCGCGAGGTTTCACAGTATCCTTCCCTCGCAGGATTTCTTTCCGGGCTTTCACCTCATGGTCCTTACGTCCGACTTTCCGTACCCAGGCTAACCAGTCCACGAAATCTTCAGGCTCCTCAATCGCATTAGAGAGCCTCTGTTCCAGCGAGGAGTTTATTCCTGTTAGGATCATGGATCTCATGACAACTGGTCCAACTCGTGCGTCCCATTCTAGGTTCTGCATCTCATTGATGTAGTCGTCGATTGGGCCAGTCTGCCGGAGCTTGTCCATTTTTTGCTTGGCCTGTTCCTGACTCGTGCGGTTGCCATATTGGGTGCGGAGTTCTTGCTTAAACCGTTCCCAGGTTCCGATGCTTCTGTCCACAGCCAACCTCTCCGTAAAGTTCCGCCAAAAGTTCGCCGCACTACCGGTAAACTCGAGGGATGCCCACATGATCTTGGTGCCGTCATCCCATTGGACCTTCCTCTGGAGACTGATTAGAATCTCCATCTGGTCGATCCAGAGTCTTACGTCTTGATCGGCTCTTCCGGAGAAGGGAATGTTGGCCTTTTTGGGTGCATCGCCTACGGTGGCGCGAGGGGGGTGCGAGAGTTCTTGCTCTCGTTGGCGCCTTCTTTCGTATCTTCGTTTCAGCCGCTTGCGGCGTTCGCCTTCCGAATCTGAGGAATCCGATGGGGATGATCCGGGTGCTTCCGGGGCGTTACCTCCCTTATTGCCATTCCCGTTACCTCCACCTTGTGCTCCTTGGCCTCCTCCCTTGTTGCCATCCCCGTTACCTCCTCCTTGTGCTCCTTGACCTCCTTGCTTCCCTTGTTGGCCTGGATCTTCGAGGTCTTCACTGGATTCGGAGCCGGCTGGAGGGGCGACTGGTTGTTGGGGAGGTGGTCTAGGAGGTGGGCCTGATCCACCGCCACCCGTCTCTGGGGCCAGTGGTTTTTCCGCAGCCGCTTTACGGGCTGTTTCCTTCATCTGCTCTATCATTTCTTCTAGAGCCGTTCTTGTCCCAGAGAACCCATCTACCAAGGAGACCTGCTGCTGCATGGTCCTCTCCAATTGTGCCAGTGTAGCTGATACGCCGTCTGGGACTTGGGCTGGGCCTTCTTTCGGCAGCCTTTGAATCCAGTCGGCCAGCATAGTTATGTGCTGGGCCTGCTCTTCCTGCCGCTCTTGGTGGGCCCTAGTGGTATTGGCGATCTGTTCCAAGACTTGGCCGAGGTTCGTAGTGGTTGCGGCTGTCTCTGCCCGTACTTGCGCGAGGATGTACCCCTCTCGGCGCTCCCGTTCTTCTTGGTCCTGGTTGAACTTCATCTGCAATTCGCGGATGAGTTTGGTCTGCTCTTCGTGCTGCTGGGTAAGCTGCGCCGCGTGCTGCCGAGTAATTTCCCTGATTGCGGGTAGGTCTTGGACGCTCACAGTGAGGTCTCCAAGTCCGCGACTCAGCTGCTGAACCACTGGAGCTCCTCTCCGTTCGATTTCCTGCCCGATGATTTCTCCAAAGGGGTGCTCGATACGGCGTTCCTCTACGTCCATATCCATATCCTCGTCTTCGTCCGTTACCCTGGGGACCGAGGGCCTCGGAATAGAAGATCGTTCTCTGATTGGCGTTTTGTACGGGGAATAATCTCGATAGTCCCCTTGCCTGCGGGAGCGGGGTTGGCCATAGGATGCGGCCGGCTGAGTCGATCTGAAGAGGTCGCTGATCGGCATGTCCAGATCCCTCCTGTGGCGCTGTCTCGCCTGGGTCTCGACTATACCTCGATCTCTCACGGTGATCGAGCTCTCCATGTTGTAGTCTTCCTCCTGTTGTTGTTGATGACCCCTTGACATCGCTAAGTTGCTCGATTCTGAGTTGTGGCTGTCTTCTGCACCAGGGTTGAGCGACGAACCAAGGGACGGAGTGAGCTAATCCGTGGGATTGCTGACTGAGGGTGACTTTGATGGGGAAGAGTTCGGGATAGTTGAGGATCTCCGGGTCGTGTTCTTCGAACGTGCAAGTAGTACCTGCTTCGGCAAAAAACCCGGCGTACTCAAGGTATCCGCAATAGAGGTGTTCGGCACTGCCTCTGCGAACGACAAAAGAGGTGGTGCAAGTAAAGTTGTTGATAGCTGCTGTTGCTACTCGGGGATGCATACGGTATCAAAGAGTCCTTCTAATAGACTACTTTCTTATTCTTTTACTTGAGCGCACGGTGACTATCCGCCACAAACAAAATACTCTCAAGTATTGGTCTAAGCAAGTAGTTGTCTTATCGGGACGTTGATAATATGCGATCGGTAAAAATAATAGCGTAGTGGATAAGGTACAATATAGTGTTTGGGGAAATGCCAATGCTAAGCGATAGTTCTGTAGCTTTTAAACTTGTAATATTGTAAACCGGATTCCGCTCGCTGAGTGACTGATGATGCCACTAAGACGAGGCGGAACCCTACCCTATTTATACATGTTGGAACCTATGCCAAGGCCCGCTTTCTAATACTAATGAGATAACGATAATAGAATAAGACAATCAACCCGAAGATTACCCCAATAGAAAAGCGCCCCCGCATAGTCCCGCTCCTCCATTCTAATTCCGACACGTAACCATGAACCCCGCAATTGCCAGTAACCGAGCTGTATCATGCTATTGTCCTAGAGCTACTTCCCTAAGTAGAATGGCCTGCAGCCATAAGCCCCGCTTCTATTCCGTTCCGGGTGAGACACCCAATAGTAAGCGTGCCCTCACAACAGCCTAATACTAGTGTGGTTGCACCCGGTGCCCCCACACCCCTCGGTACCTTTCTATGCTTGTTCCCTCGTTACCCGACCGTACTCGCATCACAACCCATCACTCGTATTATCCTTATTCCTTGACTCAGGAGCAGTGTTCGTGTTTCCTATAACAATAATAATGACTAGAATTCGGCGTGAGATACCGCTCGAGGTGCTCGTAAGGTCAATATTGATAGTAGAAGTACATGTAGTTCCATAAGTTTAGAACTTATGCACTCTACACTCTATAAAGTTATAATAGTGCTTGAATCTACAACTTCCTAGAAGCTTTGACATCTAACACTGGAGCATTGTAAGGTGCAAAAGTATCTTTATTTCTCTCAGTGGAAAGAAATAGAAAATGCCTGGGGCGTATTCCCTCTGGTTGGCACACCTTAAAAATTGTTTCCAACTAATTTGTATAAACCACCAACTCCGTTGTTTGCTAGCACGCCTAACTTACTTGTATAATAAACAGACAAAGAGATAAAAGCATTCGCAGATGAGATGCATGAGATAAAAAAGAACAAAACGGCAAATGAGAACCCGGCCCAAACAATAAAGACGATAAATGACAGAAAGGAAAGAAAAACAAGGGGAAAGAGAGACAGAGAATGGATAAGGAATCGTTTCTGAAATAGGAACCGGGTGCGAAATTAATGTCCAAAATGCTATCACCTGCTAAGGGTGCTGCACTTTACATCTTCGCTAATATACTGGCGGTTCAGTCTCCGAGATGGAAACGTAGTCGCAAAACTCCTTCGGCCTCACGATCATCTACCTCCTCTTTCTAGATCTTCATCCTTTCCTACCAAAGTTGTCTCATCGTCATCGCTCCCTCTTCGCCCACCAAAACCTCTTACCACACTTTCTTCCTCCGCATAACCAGGCGTGCTAGGCCCCCTGCTTCCTGGAAGAAGCATCATAGAACTATTCATACTCTTACTACTCTCCGGTACGTTGCTCCTTTTCCTGCTTCCTAGACCCCGTCTTCCGCTTCTTAATGCGTTATATGAGCTCGAAGGGGAGGTAGATCTCGGCGTCCCTATGCCATCCTGGAGTGTAGAACCGTCAGTATCTGGGTTGTACTCTTCCAATACTGGTGTAACGAGCTTTTTATCGGTTCCGCGGGAACGGCGGGAGGATGGTCTTAGAAGGCTTCGAGAATCCGCATTGGCTTCCTCGTCATCTGAATTGAAAATATCGCCTGCGCTATCAAAGGACCGACGGTGATTTGATAGTGTCCCAGGAACTGGTGCAATATCCTCATCGCATCCAAGCTTATCGGACTTCTTCTTGATGTAGGAATCGATGATATAGTACTGGACTCCGTTCATGACTAAGGGAAAGAACTGGAAAAGAATTATTAGTATACAACAACTTCAGGATTAGGGACTAGAGAATAAATTACTCACAAACATCACGAAGAAAACCTGAAGCCTTTTGTTACCCTCGGTCCAGGCTAGTAGCCAGTCGCCAACATGGCCTAACCAAGGGCAAAGAGCAAATATGATCCACACAACGAACTTCATTCCCATTAATCCTATAAAGTAGATGATGGCTTGTTTCATCCACCACGACCATCTGGGCGGTTCGCCATAATCACCTGAATTTATTCCTCTCTTGAGAAACTCAAATGGTGAATAGGCCAAAAGGGTATGCAATACGCGGAGTATGACTATAAGGATTGCAATGCCGATTGTAGTCTGTAGTCACGAATAAGCTATGTTTACCGATATGAGGAGTGATGGTACAAACATCGATACCTAAATTCAATAAATAAAAGCTACATGGATTAGGATGGTACGTTGGGTCATCTTCAGGTGGGCTGCCAAAGTCACGGCGGGAGCGGGGTGGGCCACCAAAGCCTGGAGGGGGTGGGCCAAAGCCTGGAGGGGGTGGGAAGCCCGGAGGAGGGGGGGGCATTCCAGCTGGCGTGGGTTCTATGCCGAATGTACCCGAGGAGAGCATGGAAAGCACGATATTCGCCATGTGTACCAAAATGGACCCAACAACTTGTTTAGAGACGTCAAACCACCTGCGCGCCGATAAATTAGTAGCTGTCGGTAACGCACCGTAAATGAGATTAACTCACCATATCTTCAGTGGTCGTTGCGGGGATTCTCGAGATCGTTTCCACACTAGCGATAGAAGCGCCATGCCTCCAAGGGCTGCTTGAATAAACAAAGCTATATTTGAAAATAATAGTATAAAAATCAGTGCCTGCTTCATTATTTCGAGCTCCTCATGCTTTCCCGCCACTCCACACACAAAGAGGAAACGCGCACATCGTTCCCATGGACAGAATAAACGAACCGAATGGACCCAACAACTCGCATCTATTGCTATCATCACCTCCGTCGTCTTGAATCATCGTCATGACGGTGGTGGTTGTGTTCATAACTGGGTTAAGCGGTGACCAGCTTGAACGGGGCGCCCCACGAGTGAGGATGACGGGATGGGAGGCGTAAGGAACCCAAAAAAAGAAATAATGAACGAAGGGAAACAAAAATTTAGGAAGAAAAGTAAGGGAGACACGAGAAGATGTGACGGTGATAAGGGCGGGTTCTATTGTTGGTGAGTTTAGGTGGAGAAGGTAAGCTGTGAATTCTAGGGTTGAAGTTCGACGGCGTTAGGGAAGCGCCAGATATGGGAGACGGTCGCACAGAGAGCGAGCATGGCCCTGTTGACCCAAGCAAGAGGCATCACCGGTCTTGGCAGAACCCTTAGTCAGTGCAGTCCATGCATAGCCTCCTGCACAACTTTAGATAAAGTGCCGAGCTAGGTTTACACCTGTAGTCAAGCATTTAAGAGCCTCAAAGACATATAAAATCTAGGCTCTTTAACTGGTGTTTACTCGGAAAGAATCATGAAATTTGTTTCTAAAGTACTCTACTGTAAAGAATGGAATAAGTCCTCATTCAAAGTCCTAAGCGATAGTATGCTGCACCCACATGCACTCCAGAGTACCTGCTCCAAAGCATGATGTGCTCCGGCCTGCAGCTCCGATCGCGTCAGTTTCAGGTTATGTTCCTTAAATCTACTAAACAGAATTCGAATGTCATGATTCGGCGGGCACATAGTGTTTTTCAACCTCAAATGGGATTCACCGCACGCCCAAATATAAACTATCCAAAGTCCTCTCATGTAAATCAACTTTCTCGGAGCTAGGAGCTTATCGTGGAGGAGCTTTGACCGACCATGTGGTCGTCGGTCTTGGCTGCGCCCAAGAACCCGGAAATTCTCCTGTGCACAGACAATGGGGGCTCGGTAGGGTAACGAGGTGACAGATTTACCCTCCTGCGGAGTGGCTTTTTGGTATCTGGACAAACGTTTATTCCTCGCGTCGGTTGCTGTGTGCTGTGCTCAACCTGCTCGCTCCCTTGTCTCAAAGTATTTCGGATATCTTTCAAAATTAAACATGGCTGCAAAAAGAAAGCTTGAGCCAACCGTCGAGGAGGAAGTTATCGTGCGTCTCCCCACCCTTCTATTTCACGCCCATCCTCACCTTCCCAGATAATAGTCCGCCAGCTAACAAACATCCCTTGACATTGACAGGATGATTCCGACTACCTCAACTTTCTCTGTCTCGGGGGAGGTAATGAAGTTGGTCGCTCTTGCCATATCATCCAGTACAAAGGAAAAACTGTCATGCTCGATGCTGGTGTTCATCCTGCATATGATGGCCTTGCTGCGCTCCCCTTTTACGACGAGTTTGATCTAAGTACCGTTGATGTGCTGTTGATTAGCCATTTCCATCTGGATCATGCGGCAAGCTTGCCATATGTCATGACGAAAACAAACTTTAAAGGACGCGTTTTCATGACCCACCCCACAAAGGCAATCTATAAGTGGTTAATCCAGGACAGCGTTAGGGTTAGGTGTGTATTGGAGCTCATGGGACTTTTTGGCCTGACAGCAATTAATTAATATATATCAGCAATGTCCATAACACACCAGAGACCCTCTACAACGAAGCCGACCATCTTTCATCATACTCCCGAATTGAGGCAATTGATTACCACACAACGCTTACTCATGCCGGTATATCTATAACGCCTTACCATGCTGGGCACGTGCTCGGAGGTGCAATGTTCTTTATTGAAATTGCTGGTCTCAAAATCATGTTTACTGGAGACTACTCCCGTGAAGATGATCGCCATTTAGTATCTGCTGAGATTCCTCCTGATAAGCCGGATTTACTTATTTGTGAATCCACATATGGCACCGCTACACATATGCCCAGGCTTGAGAAGGAAGCTAGGCTCATGAAGATGACCACCGACATTCTAACTCGTGGTGGCAGAGTTCTTATGCCTGTCTTCGCTCTCGGGAGAGCACAGGAACTGTTGCTTATTTTGGACGAGTATTGGGAGAAGCATCCCCAGTTCCAGACGTATCCAATCTACTATGCCTCTAATCTGGCCAGAAAATGTATGGATGTGTACAGAACTTATATTAATACCATGAACGACAGAATAAAGAAGGCAATGTTTGAAGAGGAGGGCAGGAATCCTTGGGACTTTAGATGGGTCAGATCTTTGAAGGCCATAGATAGGTTCGAAGACGTGGGTGGTTGTGTCATGTTGGCAAGTCCCGGAATGATGCAGGTAAAAGCCCTTTTGACCCTTCGCCGGAGATCATATTTCTTTTTATCATTGCACGTCGTTATCTTGGTGTTTGTTGGATTTCAGTATCTATATTTCTCAAACTTCTATATTTCATGTGGGTTTGGGGACATTTGGAGGATAAGAGCAGAGCATTGCCGGTTTCGTGGATCAATACCTCGTGCCGGTAGTGGCACGACTGTATTGCTAGGATTGCATTCTATCCTCGCAAAGTGGTTGTGTGCTATGGAAATCATGATTTCCTTCCGCTTTGATATTCATGATGTTGTTAAAATAAATATACACCTTTTCCATCATCATCATCATCATCATATCATCATCATCAACCTTACCATTGTCATGGTCATCCCATTGCCCACAACACATGTACATTCGGAGTGCCTCTATTCCACGTATTATCCCGCAAAATCACTAACATATTCCCCTTTGCCACCTACAGAACGGTGTATCCCGCGAACTCCTCGAAAGATGGTGTCCCGACCCCCGAAATGGCCTTGTCATCACTGGTTATAGCGTCGAAGGCACAATGGCCAAACAGATCATGAACGAGCCCACCGAGATCCCCGCCATCATGACCGCAAACCGCGGAGGCGGCAATCGCAGAGGAGACGGAGATGGTAGTCAGGTCATGATTCCCCGACGCTGCAGTGTTGAGGAACTCTCGTTCGCCGCGCATGTGGACTATGGCCAAAACTCTGGGTTCATAGAGGAGGTTGGGGCAAAAGTCGTAATTCTGGTCCATGGGGAACATAACAATATGGGCCGTCTCAAGTCTGCGCTCCTCAGCAAGAACTCTGACAAGAAGGACAAAGACAAAGTCAAGATCTATAGTCCAAAGAACTGCGAGGAGCTGCGAATCCCGTTTAAGGGAGACAAAGTTGCAAAGGTGATAACCCTGATACGCTTAAGTTCGAGAGGGATCTAGCTAACACCACCATCAGGTTGTCGGCAAACTCGCACAGAAACCCCCACCAACAGCATCCCTAGCTATGCAACTCCAGAAAGAGCAGCTTCTCACAGGTGTCCTTGTACAAAACGATTTCAAGCTCTCCCTCATGGCACCCGACGACCTCCGCGAGTATGCCGGACTCACCACCACCGTCGTCACATGCCGCCAAAAAGTCCCCATGAGTGTGGCTGGAGTCGCCCTTGTGCGCTGGAGTCTGGAGGGTATGTTTGGTGGAGTTGTGAACCTCGAGGATGATGATGAGGAGGAGGAGGAGGAAAATGGAAGCGAGAAGGATATCCCTCAGGAAGAAGATGATGCGGATATGTACGGTGGAGAGAAGTCTAAAATGAGTGGGAGGAGCTTCAGGGTCATGGATTGTGTCACAGTTAGATGCATGAAGGGATATGTTGAGCTGGAATGGGTTGGTAATGTGCTGAATGATGGGATTGCGGACGCTGTATTGGCAGTCCTCATGACCTTGGAGAGCAGCCCAGCTGCGGTCAAATGTGAGCCAATACCCCCACATAGGATGTTAACATTAAAGCATCAACTAACACAACCATATAGACTCCGCCTCCAAATCGACCCACCACCACCACCACCATGACCATTCTGCCGAAGCCCCCAAGGATATCTCCCCGCATGCTCATATCTCACCCAGACAACGTCTCGACCGGATCCTCATGTTCCTCGAAGCGCAATTTGGCGACTGCGTGACGCCACTCCCCCGTGGCTCCCGGCCTGAAAATGCGCCCAAGGAAATCACCAATGCGCCAGAAGGCGAAGACATGGATCTCGACACACTCAACCAGATCATCCCCGGTGTGCAAATCAAGATCGACAACCTCGTTGCCAACGTTTGGTTCGAGACCCTCCTCATCGAGTGCAAGAACGAAAGCTTGCGGATGAGGATCAAAACAGTCGTAGAGAGAGCCGTAGAGACGGTTGCTCCGTTCGTCGACCTCGCGGGGCCAGGGTATTAGTAGTAGTGCGCGCGTGAGAGAGAGCTGTTTCTTTCAAAAATATCATTTTCATATAAGTCAACGTAGGGGGGGTGGGTTGGTGGGTGGGTGGGCTTTAACTAGTGGTTGGAATGGTTGGAAGGGTCTGGGAGTAAAGTGCTTTTCTTTTTTCTTGTCTTTTCCTTTGAAAAAATTGATTTGTGTGTTTTTAAATTGCGTTCTTATTTTGACTACTACTACTGCAGTTACGAAGTATATGAAATTTCTTGCATCGATATCACGATAGGCCTGTATGAGAAGCACGCTGGGATCCAAATTTGACATACAAAATAAAAGTCGAGCTACAATCAAAAAAGTTATGAGTTTCTACATTTTAAATCAAGAATTTATAAGTTCCTCCATAGTAGTATATTTTCATTCCCTATCGTAGTTCACAGTAAGAATTTTTTATCGAAGCAAAAAATATTGCTTTCCTAAATACATGTATGTCCCAATGAAGAATATCACACCAGAACTAGGTCAATGATGGGACTAGCAGTAAATACGTAAATGTGTACATCGTGAGTTTGATGAGTGTAGATCATGATATATCACTCGCAGAACTAGCGGCACTCCCGATGAACGTCCCACATTATGAATCTAAGCCCAACCGGCGTACTTGACGAACCGGTCCTCCACAAAACTAATTCTCAACTAAAGAAGGTCTCTTCAAAGTCAATACGACCCTTCGCCGGCTATGTTCAAACGTCTGCCGTGTTATTTATGTTTTGGACGGAGTGGGCCGGGCTTAGGATCTTGTGGTTGGAACACATTTCGGGCTTGGTTTCTACGGCTTAGATGCGAAATATATATGCGTATAAACTCACTCCATGATAGCTGGTCACCCATCGTTGTTGCAACTACATGTATTTGTGTGTCACGCAGGGTTCCGTTGCGGGTGGTGGTGGCAAAACCGCCCGGCGTGCGCGGGAGGAAACTGGGCGTAGGCTCGGCCCCCGACCAGCGACCGCCCTTATCCTTCAACCACTCGATCTACCGGATGGACCGGAGCATCTCTCCTCCATCACTACGAACCAGAAACTGACCCATGGAAACCCGGCAAGATTCAACACTGCAGGCTCAAACGATGAAATTATCTACCCGCGGGGGGGGGGGGGGGGGGGGGGGGGGGTTATATTGAATTTTACAGGGACCGAGGGTTGAGAAGTGCGGACAGTCCGGTCCTCCTCAGTTGAGAGATTATGTGATGACCCGATCGATGATGGGCCCCAGGCCTAGGTGGCATCGACGTAGGAGCGGGCGCTGTATTGTGAACTTTAAACAATAAGCTCACTCTGCACGCGCTTCAATACGGTAGAGAGGTAGAGAGGAGAGTTAGGGGAAGTTGAGGACGGTGGTCGAGGGAGGCATTGAAATCGCGGAGGCGGAGACGGAGGTCTCGTTCAGATGCGATACCAACAACCGAGCCTACCAACAACCCGACCCCAGACCATCGAGAAATATTTACGTACTCGCTCACGCAGCTAACGAAACACTTGCATGTGCTCATTCTATCCAACTCTCGGTATATGTAGTCATTGGGCTATGTACATGTTGGATATAAACCGTGTCTGAACACATCATGTCAGCACTTGCCCTCTATATATGACTATATTATAGCCTCAAATTCCAATTTTCAATCAATTCACTTCACAATCCGCTTTCTTACCCCCCTTAATGACCTCACCCTGCTTCAACAGAGAGAGAGAAGACGGGCCGAGTGATATCCCATGCAGTAGAGACAGCCCGGAGGACCTCAAATCTACGCGCCCATCGGGCCTTGCAAACAAAATAAAATAATAACGCAAAGAAAGCAAAGACGGCGACGGTCCAACGGTCCCACCCGGCGGACAGGCAACCGCGCAGTCTTAAACCACCAGGAGCTCCAATACTCCACTAAGAGTACTCCAGATAGAGTATATCCCAACCTCAAGGTGCGTGTGGGGTACATGATGCGTGCTCATTCTCAAACCACATAGATAAGCCTGAGACTGGTCGGTAAAGTTCCTATTCTAGTCTCTCGATCTCGTGTAGGGTACCGGCGACCAAAGGCCCGAGGCCGATATACGTAGGTAGAGTACTCTAGGTGGAGTATGTGCATATATACTGATCCACGGTAGTCGGTGCGTAATAAGCTTTATCTCGGATGGACTGATTTGCATGGGGAATTCCCTCTCCTGTCCTGTACATCTGCACATTGCTCGTGTGGCAGGAGTAGGTACTCTACATACTCTAGCGTAGAGTACATGCATGTAGTGCAGATAACCTCGTAAGCATCTCTATCTGCAAAACCTTCACAGAGAGCATACGCGTGTCCATACGATGCCTCTGATCGTGTGATCGTTATGACAGGCCGTTGAGGCTTCATCTGGAAACTGAAGCCTTTGGATTGCAGCGGGCAGAGTCTCATCACATCGGCACATACATCGCGCGGAGACTTTTGGATAAGGCTTGAGGGATGGACTGTGTTCTTCAGGAATTCGAGGCGCTGGGAGTGCAACTGGAACGGCTTTTGATATTGATATTGATATTGATGCTGATAATAACTCACGGTACGTTCATCCATCCGAGAAAAGAAAGAATCCTCCTGCCCACCTGGCTCCCACGCGCACGTACCTAAGCTAACCGTCGCGCATCCAGCAAACCAATTCTCACTAGCTGCACTGCACCGTGCCTCCAATATCAAGATCCCACCAAATCTGCCAAGACTTCACGATCCTCCGACTCTACAAAAATAAACCTCAGCAGTCAGCACCAAAATTAAACATCCCCCCCGACCTCTCACCTACTCGTACATACATACCTAGCTAGCTAAAGGATCACACAAAACCCCATTGACCCCTGCGGAGGGTACGGGCTTCCTTCGGGCTTCGTGCATTTGCACCATTCTGCTTTCGGGATGCGCTCCATGACACTTGGGATATGGCTGCCACAGCCGGTCCAAGTTTTGTATGCTGCACAAAGAGGTCAGCCAGCGCATTCTGCCTTTATGCTCTACTCAAGCAGAGTACTCCTGCGATCTCGCTGCCGAATGAATGGAGTGGATTGGATCACGCACAGCAGGTAGGGCACTTGGCTTGCATGCACATGGTGAGGATTAAAGTTTTTTTATTGTAGGTCTGGCCTAAGGGGAAAGGTGCTGCGATAAGTTATGGCTGCTAATTATGGTGGCGAGAAGTCTAAAGCAGAGATGTATCGTACTTGGACGGTTATGAGCGGTATTTATATGGCGATAAACATTGCGATACCTCTTGGAAGTAGAACTACATAGTATTACATACGAACCATTCGGCGACCTTAACGTTTAGTTATTCGTATGAAGCCCGCGATATCTCCAACGCCGGCGAGCAGCTCGGGGATCAGATAAGCCAGGCACTAAAGTGCAGATCCCCGAGATTAGATTAGATAAAGATTGATCCGCAGTGCAACGCAACCCCCATGTTTTGGATTGATCTGTTCTCCTGAATTGCTGTAGGCACATGTGCTGTAGGTACAACACGATCATCAGCTGGACACTGGAACGCCGCCCAAGAACCTAAACGGTACTCTACTCATGCCAGAGTAAGGTACTCTTGCCCGCTAAGGCTACGAACCCAAAGTTTGGGCCGTACTTGCACAAACTTGGAGACATACATGATGTAGAAGTAGAGCATCTACTCTGCGAGGTTGATGAACCGTAAACAACCCCACGAGAACTTGCCATATGGGGCAATCCCCTAGAATTGACAAAGAGAATTACTCTCGTCAAAGTGGAGAAGAATGGATCCCACCTAGGCACGCTCTACATTGTGGAGTACGTAGCCGAGTCAAGACAGTAGCAGCTCAGCTGTCTAATAACGGGGATAATCAACCTCACTCATCAGTGCGCCGAAACCCATTAATGGAAGGGAAAAAATATCCTTCGCCGGAAAGGTCGGGAGCAAAATCATTGCTAATTTCGTTGCGCGAATTTGGTTCCCGCGAAATTCAACGTGGGTCCGATGCGATTCGAGGTGTCCCGAGTCTCGAGTCTCGAGTCGGTACACTGTTTGATGTTCATCAGGGTAGGGTCCGAGCTCTTGGCATCCCGGCGTGCTGTTTGTGGTGAAACATAATAATCGCCCCCCACCCCTTGTAGGCTAGCTCGGTCGCGGTGGCTAGATATTCCGAACGTTAACGGTTAACCTGCAAACCACCATCTCTTTCTAGAAATATCACACCACTGCTACATACAACACCCACCCGTAACTTCTTCTTCCCTTTCTCTGCGCCTAGGTTATCCCCGAAGGAACAAGCAAATGGAGGAAGAGAGAAAAAGAAGCGATGCCTTGCCCTGCCTGCCATTCAGAATCTTTCTCACAAATTGTACCTACATACGGCGACCCTGTACCGAACCTACGTGGGACATGTCATCATCATTCAAAACCAGCGATTCATATGTACCCCTGCGCCCTTCATGGAGATGGATCATACTCTACAGCTGTACTCTACCTCTGCCAAGTGTCAGAGTAACTTTTTTTGAGCGAAATATTTTCGTAACCCTGACTGTGAGTGAGGGAGGCTGTTCACCAGTCGAGTCAGCCACCGGGTGGTCTCCTTTGGATATACATCCTCCAGGCGCCATTGCCGGTACCTTACCCCACCATACAGCGAAAAAGATCATACCACTTTTTTTTTTTAGTGGTAGAGTAAACGCACAGTAGGAGCAGTCACCCCCGTAGGCTGGGACTGGGCGGGTTATGATGGCTATTTTACTTTACTTTAGATCACCGCTACCAACTTTTCTCGAAATAGGTACCCCAGTGGATGGTTGGATGAGTGTTATGGGTTAGGTTCATTCGTAGCCCCAAAAAGCTCTTTAAATTTGAATATCATTTTCGGATTCTAGGTTGTTCCTAGGAATTGGAGAACTTCTACCGGAATGGACTATCCTATCTACTCTGAGTAGTTACCACATTACATACGTGGTTCCAGAACGAAACTCCCGGGGCATTTCCTTCTCGAATAGGGTATTTCCCTCTCACAGGGCAGAAATAAAAAATAATAATATACCGAATTTCCGCTACTAGCTGGAAGTGACTAGATCAACATAGATAAAATGGACAGGGCAAACAAGCAAACAGGCATTCCCCTCAATTTATCCCTTCCTTTCGACCCCTCTACTCTCTAGCTGGCCGTCAAGTCAAGGGAGGAGCTGCAGAGAAGAATATCTATCTTGCTTCTCCATAGAGTACCGGTACTCTATCAGAAGCGGACCCGATATTCGCCTGGCTGCGCTTGCGCCAGCACGCACGTTCGGGAATTATTCCGCATCAAATCAAAAAAAAAGTTTTTCCCATTCGTATATCATAGTTAATATATCGTGCAGTGAAACTCCCTGGAACCTATCTCTGGCTATTAGTCGGTTGACGTCGGTTGGTTGGTTAGTTTGGTTGACAAGGGGGGGTTTTCAGGTTCATCAGATTTCAATATCTATGTAGGAGGTAGGTACTTTAGAAAGCAGTACCTCTACTCTAGCCATAGTGCACATACCCTGTCTCAGGAGCATGACCATCACTTTTTATATCGCTCACTTGCTCGTCGAAACCACATGCCAAAAAAAAAAAAAAAAAAAGGCCCAATCCCCAATCCTCAATGCCCCCAGCCTTGTAAGTTATGTTACTGCCAAGCGTTATGATATATGCTCAAATTCTATTAAAAACACCACTCCTTTTTTTTTTTTTACCACCACAGAGGCACTTCAGCCTAGCTTTGCTAATAGCTAGCTGGTAGGATGTAGGTAGCTGGATGGCTGGCTGGCCACATCGTAATTAGTTACGGGCATCTCGATTATATTTTATTTTTCCCTCTTTTTCCCACCCCCCGCGGCCCTCCCTACGTTGTATCAAGTAATAACCTACTGTATGGAATAATTGTAACAAACAGCCACACAATCGATCCAGGACCATGCAACCTTAGAAAAAGTTACTACGGACAGACCCGAATCAGGACCGTGGGGAAGGGGGAGGGGCGCGCACTGGGAAAGAAAATTGTCGATTCGGAAGAGTCGAGCCGCCGGGTACTTGCGTAATAATAATATGGATTCACAATGAGGGGTTAATTTTTCGTCGTTCGTCTTTCTGACTGACTGGACTCCTCTGCTCGCGTGCCTGCGGGCCCAATGTGGTACCAGAGTGAAAAATTTCGTGTGAGCTGCCAGTATTAATTACCCGCTACCGGCACCTTTTGGAAAATGGAATATTTGACCAGCCCAGCCAGCACCACCACCACCAGCATTACTTAAACTACTACTCCCCACCCTCGAATACTCACCTCCACAATTTCACATATTCGATTTTACAGACAAGACAGCCGGAAAGTCTCTTTCGCATTTTATATTAATTAAATACCACACCTTACTACTATCTTAAATTATACAGCTGCTATTTCATACTACATCCATCCAAACTACTCATACTCATACTCGTACCAACTACAACTATAATTACTACTTCCGCGAAGCAATTTTTATAGTAATAAAATACTTTGATATACCATGTCGTGGTCTGACTACTGTCCTGAGATTTCATATGCCAGTATTCTTCCTCTACTTCTGCTCTCAATACCGCTTTATATGTACCTGCACTCCAGTAGAGAGCGTAAAGGCGTGCTAGCAGTGGAACCACCCCATCAGCAAGAGAATATGAAGCACACCCTCTCCCCCACATTTGTCGGCGATGTGCGAAATAGTAAGTGCATGACACTCTCATTCACCGATGCAACTTGCTTTTTCACACGATCTCTCGTTCCTTTTTTTTCCTCGAGGAAAAATTTCCATGGCAAGTTATGAATCATACTGACAAACAATCGTTCGACCTCCGCAGCATCACAGCAATTCCTCCACGAAGCCCGCCGCAGAATTGCTGCAGACACCGCTACCACCACCGCCGAGACCACTGCTGGCAGCGCGCCAGTACCAAGCTCCCAAGAGACTACCGGCGCAATGACGAGTCGTCAGGCTTGGCCGCAGGTGTGGTGCGCAGAGACTGAAGCAAATTACACCGGCTTCCTTGGGTTCCAAGCTGCTGCTGCTGAGGGCGAGGAAGAGCATTCGCATCAGACATTCTACATGCCAGAGGCACCAAAGAACTGGAACCACCAGCACCAGAATCAGTACCACGAGCTCATTCGAAGAAAGCTTCCAAACATAGCTGCTCCCACCACTACCACTCCCACCCAGGTGCAGAGGCCAATGGTGCTCCCAAATTTGCCGGCGGAGATCCATCTTGAGATCATTAAGAACTTGATTCCAGCGTCGGAGTCGTCGAAGGCGGTGACGACTTATGCCCAAGGCTGTGGGCTTTGTAACCTTTTCCAGCTTTCCTCGCTGTGCAAAGTGAATCGTTTCTACTACTCCATCGTGTCAGAGCTTCTGTATACCAACCTTCCGTTGAACGTGTCGACAGAAGTCTTCCCCTTCGACGGAAAGACCCTGTGCGAGGCACACCACCACCTCTCCTCCAAGACCCAACAGCTGGAGAAGCGTCTCCCGCTGCTTCTGCGCACCCTGCGTGAGAGGGACGATCTCGCCGTGAACGTCAAGGCTATCCATCTCCCACCAAGCATTAACTGCTGGCTCACTTGCTCACTAGAGAAGGTGCTCCTTCCCAACTTGATCGATGCTTGCGAGAATGTGGAAGTGATCCTAGGAACCGAGCAGCTGCACGAGCGCCAGTTCTTCTCGGCGGAGCACTTTTGTCTCGATGAGGACTCGACACAACATGGGATCCTTGCTAAGACTATTGTTGAAAAGACCAGCCTGACCCGTGTGATCTGGAGAGGAGGGGATGCGGGAACTCGCAGAAGTGTGTGGCAGAGGGTATTTGATGGACATCCGGATATGAGGGGCGTTGGGTTCATTGAGCTCCACAGGAACTGGGGCGCGTTGAAGGAGTTGGGATTCTTTGGGGTTAGGGGACTTACGGTTCAGGAGGCCAAGGTGATCTTCGAGGGGTTACCGAAGTTGGTTAAGTTTGGATTGGGTGATGTTAGGGTGAAGAGGAAATCGGAGAGGGAGCTTGGACCTGCGAGCCCAGCTGTAAGAGAGGCCAGAAGAGAGGTGAAGGAGAGATTCATGTTGATCCTCGAGGCTCTTCCGGAGAGTGTGCGCAACGTTGGGTTCTCCGATGTTGATGATGAGGACTTCGTTGTCGAGGTTGGGAAATGGGCGGCTGCAAGAGTTGCGAAGAGCGTTGAGTCCTCAGACGAACGCAACGTCAAGCCCTACTTCAACCGCCTTACCTTCACCAGAATCTGCTTCACAGCCGAAAATCTGAGGTCTCTCCTCACTTCTTTGGCGGTGGAGGCTCATGTTGGAAAACACACCTACTCAAGAAGCGCGGTGAAGGATCTGCGCCTATCAAATCTTGAAAAGAAGGATAGGTTTTTGGACACCCAGATTGATACCACACTTTTCTCGCTTAAGGAGGATGAGGTTGAGTTGAGAGGACTCGAAAGACTGTGCTGGGGTGTTGGGAGTTGCGAGGACAAGGAAGCTTCTATTGGTAAGGCTGGCATCTTGAAAGGCGCGCTAAGGAGAGGATGGTTCAAGAGCTTGAAAGAGGTTCTCGTTGAATCCGACCCCACCCCACTGAACGTAATCGAGGCCTGCAACGATAGAGGATTGGAGTTACACGAATTCAGAGATATCAAGCGTCAATCTGGAATGGTTGAGTGGTAGCAATGTTCGTTCATTGTCTTCATTTTTACAATAGTTTCATATGTTTGAAGATTTCATTTGTTTAGCATTTCATAACTTTTGGCATTCTTTACGATGAAACTCATACCCTGGAGGTTGTGGTTTTTAGAAGGTGTATTACGGAAAAGGCTTTGGTGTTTATGGGTTGTTTCTCTGGTGTTCGTCTTTCTTTTTCTTTTCTTTTTTTTATTGCATGTCATTTTTACGGTTTACTCCCAGCTGAGCTGTAATACCTAATCAGCATGATATTTCTGGTGGGCAGATCAAAGCTAGACTTCAAAATAGTTATATAGTTGTCAGTTAATTACATAGCAAACAATTAAGAAGTTTAAAACAAGATTTACTGAATGATTCGTGTCGGTTGCAACGCAACAGCCCACGATGACTTAAGACAACTGAGTTAAGTGTCACAAAGCCGATCGGAAACCAGTTGAAGGGTTTAAAAACGCCTCCTACTCAGTATTATAGTTTCTACATGATATCTTTAAGGATGTTATTTGAAGGCGAATGCGCCTATGGTGATCTGAGAAATACAAGCTTCCTTGGTTTGTCTTAGCCACATACTCGCAACAGGCCTGAAGTACCCGAAAATGCAGCTGCAAGGTTTTGGTGTATTTTTGACTTCTACTCCAATGGCAATTGCAGATTAGGGCTTGCATTTTCGGGTACTTGTTACCTGCTGCGAGTACATATATCCCATTCTATTTCAAGTCCAGTGAAAGAAGGGATGCCATCCTGACCAGTCGGTCCATTCGGCCAAATGAAATATATCCACGAAAGCCCACTTTACATCAACTTGTAACACCTGCGTCACCACTGGTAATGATTGATTGGTTGTTCTAATTGTTGTAAAATCGATGATTGACGGGGTGGTGATAGTTTTTCTTTCCTTTTCTCTCGTGGCGGTTTGTGTATTGTACGTAGGGCGTAGGACGACGGGCTCTCTGATCAAGAGTTGCCCTTCCCGTCGCCCGATCTCGCTTAGGCTGGGCTGCAGCGTTTGGTGACAGCTAACGGCAATAATTAATCTGGTTCTGTGTATCCGCCCCGAGTTCCCGAGCTTCACCTGCATAGAGATCTATGTATGTAGGTACCTGTTGCGCGGCTACTGTGCTGTAACTAGCTTTGGGGCAGGGTGTGTTTGCTTTCTTTAACTTTCGTCTCAGCTGGATCTACACAAAGTTCGCGCCCTTTATCGGTACGTACCTTCAAAGTATGTTTCGACCAGGAGAAATGAAGAGCTTGACTTTGGTCGTGTTTGGCTACCATGTAACTTGACGGCGGCTACCGGCGTTTCAGGGGACAATGAAGTCATCTAAACCAGCTTCTTTCGCCGTGAAGACCCTTGCTCAAGACCCTTGCACAGGGTTCATCGTAGCCAATGAATTCTCTTCTCCTAGGACACTAGGATTACTTGGCGCCAGCCACAAGCCCATAATAGCGTCACCTTGCCAATGCTTCTATTGGCTTTTAATCCAAAGTTCCTGCTTGCTCTCTTCTTCAAATTTCCTGGCGGTGTCGAGTTCATATCGTCACGTCCCCTCTCTTTACCCCCCCTTGTCACCCGGTGGTGATTCTTCTTTCTTGTTTTTCTCCGCACTCTATTTTATTTCTATTTGCCGATCTTATCTGTCTCCCTAGAAGGAGCACGTCCCTCTTTCTCCTGTAGAATACCTACTCTAGATCGTGCCGCTCATTCACTTATCCCCGAGCTCTCCTCCCTCTTTTTCTACCGTAATTTTGATAATTATTTTGTCTCAAACATCGACAACAGCACGTTACGTTTGCTGCCACAACAACAATTACGTTTGTCCCCAGGGACCACACTACGATAATTCGATAACGACAACAGACCCAGTTAATTCGATACGGTTACCATTACAATGAGTAACTCCACAATAACTTCGTCAATGTCGTCTACGACTATGACCTCAAGCTCGGCCAGGGCCACCGCAACAATTAATAGTTCAATAGATCCATTTGCAGATGCCGGAAAGGCTCAAAACTCAGCGGGAATGTCTCTGGAGACATTCCTATCATCACTCGGAGTTGCAGCAGCTGTGTTCGGTGTTGAAGTAATACTGTTCGTTCTTCTGAGAACGAAATTACAACGTGTTTATGAACCCAGAACGTACTTGGTGCCGGAAAAGTAAGTACGACACTAAATCTAGATTCTGAGTTCACTTAGTTGACAATAATTATCTAGACGCCGTACAAAACCGCCCAAGCCTGGGTTTCTAGCTTGGTTTAAGCCCGTAAGCTACAACATGCCCCTCAAGGAAAATCGATGTCATTGAATGCTAACACTGAGTGTTCGATTAGATATTTGCTACTGCCAACAGCGATTTCATACAAAAATCCGGTCTAGATGCCTACTTCTTTCTTCGATACCTTCTTATGCTGTTGAAAATATTCTGCCTACTCGCCCTGGTTATCATTCCGGTCCTTCTACCATTGAATTCCATCGGTGGGATAGGCGGCGACTCGGTGCAAGGTCTTGATAGACTGGCATGGACCAATGTAGCACCGGAGGACACGAGCCGGTATTGGGCGCACTTACTGCTTGCCCTGGTCGTCATCGTTCTTTTCTGTTACATGTTTTACCGGGAATTGAGGGCATATATTCGACTACGACAAGCATATTTGACCTCGCCACAGCATAGATTGAGAGCCAGTGCCACAACAGTACTGGTGGCTTCGATCCCAAGGAAATGGTTGGGTGTTAAGGAATTGCTGGGATTATATGATGTATTCCCGGGTGGAATTAGGAATATTTGGATAAACAGGTAAGATTTATGACACCCCCTTACCAAGGTATTAAATTACCTGATTACTGATCTACTTGGCAAAATTACAGAGATTTCGAAGAGCTCGCAGAAAAGGTCCAGGAACGTGACAAGCTTGCAAGATTACTCGAGAAGGCTGAAACAGCACTTATCAAGAAGGCAAAGAAGAAGCATATTAAAAAGCTCCAAGCTGAAGCTAAAAAGAACCCTCAAGCTAAACCGGCAGTTGTAGAGGCCCAGCACGCAGGCGAGGAAATTGCAGGCCCTGGGATGTCTTCCGGAAATCCTCATCAAATTCCGGAGGATATCCATGAGGCAGTTGAACAAAATACTCACAGAAGAAGTAAGTCAAGGTTTGCAAATATAAATCCGATTCCAGTCGTTGGTGATGGCCTTCAAAAACTCCAAAGGGGCATCTTTGATGGCGTAACTTCTGGGTTCGATAAAATCCGAGGCGGCGTAGAAGATGTGTTGCCGAAGCCTGCGTATGGTTATCAGCCAGAGGATGCAGAGGATCATTATAGAGCACCCGCTGGGCAGCGACGACCTTCACTTAACGAGCGGGGATCTTCTCGCAGCGCAAAGAGAGGCTCAACATTATTAGGACGCGAAGAAGTAGATGATAATGAAGGCCCGTCAAGGAGACGAAACACGCTCAAAGGAGAAGAGGGCACATCAACTACTCGGACCCCGCTCCCATTGAGCACTCAGGAGGAAGTAGACGAACCGTCTAAATTGGCTTTCTGGAAACGATCACACGCTACCCATGGTGAAGAAGACGAAACACCGCTCAGTTCTGCTAGTCCGACGACTCCCCGAGCCAGCACTGTCGACGAAAAGGTTGATGTCTTTGAAAAAAGCGGAAAGGAAGGAAAGAAGGGGAAAAAGGAAAAGAAGAAGACGGAATATTCCAAAGCTTATAATGAGGAGGAAGCAGACGACAAACTTGGCGAACCAGTATGGAAGAACTACTTGACTGAGAAGGATAGAGAAACGATGAGGCTTCCGATCTTCGGCCTCACATGGATGCCATCTTTGCCGCTGATCGGGAAGAAGGTTGATACAATCTATTACTGCCGCAAAGAAGTTGCACGTCTCAACGTTGAAATCGAGAAGGACCAGAGCGAGCCAGAAAAATACCCTCTCATGAACTCCGCATTTATCCAGTTCAATCATCAAGTTGCTGCACACATGGCTTGTCAGTCGCTATCCCACCACGTCCCTCAGCAAATGTGCCCCCGCCACATAGAAGTATCACCTAACGATGTAATCTGGGATAACATGAAGATAAACTGGTGGCAAAGGTATATGAGAATATTCGGTATAACAGTTGCTGTTAGTGGATTGATTATTGGATGGGCTTTCCCGGTTGCCGTTGTTGGTTTGCTTTCTCAAGTAGATTATCTAACAGAGGTTGTTACATGGCTTGCTTGGATAAACGATCTTCCGAATCCAGTGGTAGGATTGATTCAGGGTATTCTGCCACCATTGGGTTTGGCAATACTGATGGCGCTCCTGCCCGTCATTCTCAGATGTAAGCTTCCTGGACCCAGAACCGCAGTTTCAGTTTGGCTAATATTTCAACACAGTGTTTGCAAAGCTTCAGGGTCTTCATACCGGCATGGCTATTGAAAGGGCTGTTCAAGGGATGTACTTTGCCTTCTTGTTCATCCAGATCTTCCTCGTTGTCAGTATTTCCTCGGGTATTACTGTCGTTTTGGAGGACCTTCTCAACAATCCAATTTCTGCTCCTTCCATTCTTGCGCAGAACCTACCAAAGGCATCAAACTTCTTTTTCTCCTATATGCTCCTACAGGCATTCACCGTCAGCGGAGGAGCAATTCTCCAAATCGCTACACTGGTTATTCAGTTTATATTGAGCCCTATTCTAGATACTACCGCTAGGGAGAAGTTCACCCGTGCTACGACTCTCGTGGAGATCAAGTATGGAACTTTCTTCCCTGTCTACACGAATTTGGCATGTATCGGAATTGTTTACTCAGTTATCTCTCCGTTGATCTTGATCTTCAACATCTGCACATTCTCGCTCTTTTGGATGGTGTACCGGTATAACATGCTCTACGTCAACAACTTCCGGTTCGATACTGGTGGTTTGTTATTCCCCCGAGCCATTAACCAGCTCTTTACTGGCATCTATGTCATGGAGGTCTGCCTGATTGGTCTTTTCTTCCTAGTTCGGGACGCGCAAGGCGAAATTGCTTGTTTCCCACAAGCAATCATTATGATCATCGCGCTTGGATTTACTCTGTTATACCAATACACACTAAACTCGGCCTTTGGACCACTACTAACGTACTTGCCCATCACATTGGAAGACGACGCGGTCATCGAAGATGAGAAGTTTGCAAGGGAGCATGATGAAATGAGGAGGCTCAATCGCATCGTTCCTGAAGAGCAGGATGGTGATGACTTGAACGAGGTTCTTGAAGCCCGTGAGAAACGGGAGCAAGCAAGAGACCGTCATGAGGAGGAGATTGAAATGAGGGAGATTGAACAGATGAAGCAAGGGCATAGAAGGGGGAGAAGTACCGCCGAGAAAGCATCAACAGCGGCTGGAAAGCAGGAGGTAGAAAGGCATGAAAATCAAGATAAGTACGATAAGGATGTCGAGGCACAGAAGCGCCATAGTACAGCCCAACCTGTATCGCAACGTCCGGAGCTTGCTTTGTTTTCTGATATTGCAGACGAGATTGAGGACTTATCACCTGAGGAACGCGATGTTTTGGTCGCAAGGGCGTTTCAGCATGAGGCTCTCAGAGCTAAGAGGCCCGTCATCTGGATTCCTAGAGACGATCTGGGCATCAGTGACGACGAGATCAGGAGGACGCAGAGATTTTCTGGGAATATCTGGATCAGTAATGAATATACGGGGTTGGATGCGAAAGGGAGAGTTGTTTATCGAAGACCGCCTCCAGATTTCGATCAGATGGATTTAGTCGAACTTTGATGGGAAGATAGGGAACAAACGATAAATGGTTGCAGAGTACATAATACGGCGTCTTGATTTTTATGGGAGGGGTTTTTTCCTACACTCTAGGTGTTTAAGCGATGTTTTATGCATTATATTGTATATCATATACCTCATAATGACGGTTATGAACCTTGAAATTCTTTTTTCCACATGAGCCCTCCTTGAATGGTTCCTGTTTTCATACTTTATGTACTTTTTTAGTAAGAGTTTCTTATATCTTTAACTTCAACTTTCTTGTCATTTATTCATTATAACGCGTAATAAGAACCTAGACCTAACCAATCCGTGTACTCACTCTAAATCTTTCATACCTCTCCAGTTTTACACTAACACCTTAGTTGATCGGTTTCCATAAGAAACGTCAGTCTATAGTTCTGGTGATAACAGGCTTCGGTAAATATTATGGAGTAGTGACGAGACCAACTCTGCTATGTCCTGGTGGGTGATCTTTCTCCCGGGATTTGGATAGCGAGCTTCGGCCCAATTCCCGTTAATCCGAAAATCGGTTTGGTGAGTCGATAGCCCATGAAAACTTTTTTTACGGAACTGTATAAAAGTGATCCGGAATTGTGGCCAAAAATACAATAGCAATATCGCAGCTTAAGGCACCATTTATAATATGTTTATCTACATTCATGGTATTGGCATTTCCGTGAACTGCGGGTCAAAGACTTTCCCAGATAAATGATAGGCCTGTACCTCGCTTTATCTTACGTGCTGCAAGGAAAATCCCCGGGAAAGCGGGATTTCCTGTGCTTCTGCTGCTAGGTTCCCTAGACAGAGTGATTACTTGTGATTTTCATGTAGCCTTTTTTGAAACCAGGCGCCTGGAAAAAACCGCAATTTTCTAAAAAGTCAACTAGCCTCTCTAAGGTTTTAAGTTAAATAAAGTTCACTGGTTGTGCCGAATTTCTTACTAGTCCGCGGAGGGGCGAGTGATGGCACATGATCCTTCGATTGAGGGACAATCCCGACGATCAGAATCGTGATCGAGAAACTGAGCCTGAGGCGAAGATCAAAACAGAATTGTTCCCGTAACTATCAGCCAGAACTGCATTTTTGCCTTTGAGGCATAGGCCCAGACCGATTCTACTTGGTCCAGACTGTTATTCACTCAATCGATCTAGAACTCCAAAATTCGATATTCCCGCAGATACGTATGATGGGTGTATCGGATCAATCTTATGTGTCGGTGTCCATACTTGTATGGTCTTTCGGAACAAAACTATTAAGTTCTGGACACGAAAATCAGTTCGGGATGAACGGTTGGAATTGGGTTAGTGGGGTAATGTTTAACACTGAAAGGGTTTCCCCGGTTTCAGAATCACATGCTGTGGCTACGTAGTATCGTAGTATCGAGCACGCTACCGCACGATGTCTCTAGAGAACCGTGCAAGACACTGTTGAGCCATGAAACATTCGTCATCCCATCCCATCTCTCTTAGCCAACCTCAGTCAAATTCTTCAGCCTCGCCCTCAGGTTCGAGTATGAACAGCTACACTATTCAAAGACAACCAACCACCTGTCAATGCGAACTTTGTGTCCCAAAATCCACATTTTTCATGGCTATGAATTTACGCCCTCAATGTGCTATGCTTACGCGAGAGCTTAATCCCCCGGCGTAGTTAGATGGCTCGAGGCATTCTAGTTTTTTGGTAGATGCTCCTATTGGTGGATATCCCAAGAATCCCCTTGCATAGCATTGCATATTCTCGTTATTGAATACGACTCTTGGGTAGTTCAAGGGTATTGGTTATATACCCGTGACTGTGCATTCAGGATCCCAGGACTAGGGCTGGCGCAGACATGTACCTGTATAATAAGAATGGAATTAATGTTCTCAAAACTCCCATGCAAGACCTCTGTTGACAACTCATGATAATCGGTGAGGAAGGGCTGTATGTGTGCACTTAGATTGTTGTTTCTATCAACAGAAAAAGTGAATCAAAAACATTCAGCATACCCTTGATCAGAAGAAACAAGAAACAAAATAGCTAGGAGAGTTATAGGTATATTGTTGCATGCGGGACATTGATAAAATGACTAATAATAACAGGTTATAGCTATGTAGCTGCATTGCAAAGGAAAATTCGAATAACAAATAAGCTCTTTCTCAATTCTCATCCCAACAAAAACCCGGTAAAAGGGAATAAAATATTCTTCCCCTTGCTGACACCCTGGCACCGGACCTGCAGCCCTAAGAGGGAAAAAAAAAAACTTCAAGAAAATCAAATAGCAATATCTATTTCCCCCGAGTACCACCGACAGCGACCTCCATAACGATAGGGTTCTCAAAATCCGCCGAGTTTTTTGCACTGTTCACAGATGCAGAGCGCACATGCAGCACACTTCCAGACGAAGATATCGCCAACTTTCTTGCAAACATCGCATCTGTTTGCCCCGCCTTGTACCTTGACAAAAGTCCCGTGTGCGCAGCCCGACATACTTGGTTGTGGGTGGTAAGGATTTCGAATGAAAGATTATCGAAGAAGAAATCGGAATTGACCGGTTAGATATCGGATGGTATATCAATAAAGTATTCAGGGAAGGTCTTTGGTATATCAAAAAAGTATATTTGAAGGTATCTTGAGGAGGTAAGAACGAGGTATTTGAAAGCTGTTTTCTCAATGATTTGAAGGACAAAGAGAGTTGAATTCTCTACACTTATATAGTGTATCTTCTGGATTCAATTTGATATAACCACTCTCAAGCCAAGCTGGTCTGTTTTGAACCTGATTTTTGCTATCCTTGGTTATGGATGAGTAAAACATCCGTCTCAGTAATATCATTACAAAATTTTCATGAGCATCGACTACATTTAACACGCCGCCGACAGGGGTGACACTTGGCCAGTACCAGAAAGAAGCACATAATCATGGCTAAAGCCAACAGTCTCAAGTTCCTCCGATGTAAACTGCCGAATGAGTCCTAACAAATTATCCGTAGTTGGTCGGTGAATTGTGCGTATTCTACACTTAAATCGATCTATCTACAAGTGCAAAACTTGAGCTGAGCGCGCAGAAGTCGGCGCCATCGTCCGTCTAGTTTATTCACTTGATAATTGTTTTGGGTTAGTGGATGGATCCTTTCTTTTTCGTGGTTAATGCTTACCCATTACGGCAAATTAGTAATGATAAACATGACCTCAATTGAGCGTACTGCAGAATAGAACACTGCGTGATAAGTGGTGAGTCTGAGTTCACTATTATATACCTACAGACCCTATACCAGCTGGATAGGTAATACGTGCAGCACACACAACATATCACCACCGGGGGAGAATCGATCTGGTCGGAAGCAGGCATCCTAAATTTCAAATTTGGTCCGCAGATATTCCCTAGCGTTATAAATATCACAATCTAGACTCTGTACTGGACGATTTAAGAGTATATCCCAACTTACCATAAATTTCGGAGTCTTTATAACTTATAACATAGAGTCATGGATGAGGCAATCGATTCCCTAAATCAATATTATGATGATGATGTCTTCCATATTTCTAACCGCAAGACCTTGAAACTCCAAAGAGAGCATACGTACTGTATCAATAATAGATCCAAGCCAGGCAGCTAATCACATACCCATAATAAACCTGTTCCGATTGTGTCGTTGCCTCCAGGAAGTATAGACTCAATGTATATGACGAAGGATGATCCGATGTACTCAGTCTATCTGAACATTCATGTTCAGGATTATAGACAGCATCATTAATTTCAAGTTCCAACTATGTGCCTACTGGGAATAAGAGCCAATCGATAAGCGGGCGCTATTCATTCCTGCTTTATGCTCAACATCTCCTGCTTAGTTTCGATTCTAAGACCGACTTTCCCGGTAACGACCGGCATCGGCTTATTTGCGGATGTCTTTGATCGGAAAACTTGAAGATCTTGCGGGTACGGGTATTTACAGACCAATCAAGGTTGTGGGTCCTAGTAGAGAGATCGGGATCGTTGATTGGGGCCCATCCCAAAAGTCCCTTATGAATAAGAACCCAATATATGGTATGGCACGGAAAATAGCACCGCTCATCGAGGTTTATTGGAATTTATATGAATTAGAAGCTCGCACCTGTTGTGTATTGAAATGGATATAACTATATATTATGACAACACATACATCCCGCGCTCTCTATTAAACATAATCCACTCTGATAATGTTGGTAGTTATGTAGTAGACATTTACGTAACTTCACAATGCAAGCTACCTGAAGTAAGGTTATACCGAACTTGATCAAAAACCGGGGACGCGAACATGGGGGGAACTAGCAAGTGGAGTGGTTTCCCCAATCATGTTATTCGAGACAAGACATATATATCCACAAAGCATGAGCGAGGAATAACCAGCTAGTGCTCACAGGTATGCTCTGCCTCGTCTTCCGTGTTACCATCCTCCCCACTTTCCTCAGACTGCTTCTTTCCTCCCTTCTTGCGAGGCTTTGGCGCCTTCTTGATGGCTTTCTTCTTTTCTGCAGCTTCAGCTGCCTTTCTCTCCTCTTTCCCTTTCGCAGACAGCTTGGCAGCTTTAACCAAGAAATTTGGATCATTTCCCGGGGTTCCTACTAGTGATTCCAGTAGTTTGATTTCCTCTGCCCAGGTACTTTCGACTTTCATCGGGGTTTCCAGGACCATAGGGAGCCCTTCTAGTTTTTCATCATTCATTAGGACGCGGAAGGCCTCTAGCCCTAGAAATCCAACTCCGATATTCTGATGCAGATCCCGGCTTGAGCCTAGAGGAGCCTTGGAGTCATTGAGATGTAGAGCAACAAGGTACTCTCGCCCCACTATTCGGTCGAAGTTAGCCATCACGGTGTCGTACGAAGCCTGGGTTCGGATATCGTGTCCAGCTGCCTATATAACGAATCAACACCAAACCACTCAAATTCTTAGATAAGGGCCACAAACAAATAAGTGGCATGTATCTAGGCAGACGCCGACTCTATCCTTATCCTTAACATCTGCTATAATGTCTCGCAAATCTTCAAAGTTTGCACCTATAATATTTCCCTGGCCAGCCATATTTTCCAACACTGTTTTCACAAATCTAGTTTCTTTGTGTGCCCGATTCAGGTGGGCAGCGATCCGTGCCAGTGCCTCGGAGCGCGGAAGTCCAAGGGTAGATCCAGGGCTATGAGTATATCAGCACAAGAAAATCAACGGCCCTCAATAGATAATAAATTCGTCAGAACGCCCCGAGGCCGCGGAGGAAACCGTGTAGACGCATTTATTTAGAATGATGATATGACAATATCCAGAGCTGATTAAGGCTAGCTTGACTTACTGGAAATTATATAGTCCAATACCGAGCCTTTCACATCTCTTCAGGTCGTCGATAAAGCAATCGTATGCTTGTTTTGCTTTCTCTTGATCGCTTTGAGCAAGATTTATCAGATAGGATCCATGCGGGAGGATATGCCTGTTTCACAAGTCAGCTCTCCTACGGGATTGTGCCATGCCTCGTGGACTTCAGCTGCAGAATCCCGGTAACTGGAAATCGAGGTCTTAAAATATCATTGAAGCACCACCGTTCGTAAACGCTGGTTGTTACTAGCTTTTGTTTCGGTCAAGCGATTAGTGCGCCAGGTAATCCCGGTGCACCAATTCCTTCGGCCCGGTAACAAAAACTGCAATTTGTCCGGAGCCCCACAGAACTGTTAAGGGCCTAAGACCCGGGTTCCACAGCCAAGGAACCTGAAGAAACGATATGGGGAATTCCACAAACCGTTTCGGATCGAACCGTGACTCTTTACAGGCCTCTCGGAACGCCACAGCGTCAGATTCTTTCATGTCGGGGCTCGCCCATTTCCTCTGTGACTTGAGAAATAAGGCGAATGCGTTTCCACCAATGTTGTTGCAATTTGTGATAGCATTCTGGACCCCTGTTTTTCCGTGAATAAAAAGAAATGTTAGTAAAAGATCTGGATAGCTCTAGCAAAAGGGGCTCTTCAAGACCTTTTGCCATGCTTACATGCGCGCCCACAAGCATCTTTATGCCCACAGTTCTTGCCACAGCAGGAATCATTGTTGGTGGATTCTTCTTTGTTGAAGCTCGAACTTTCTTCTGGGTGGTTGACTTTTGGCCTTCGTTGTCGCCGTTACTGTCGTTGTCGTTGTCTTCGCCAGCTTTTCGCTTCACACCGGCCTTTGGCTTCAATCTGACTGTTGTTTTGACTGTTTTTCCCACTTTCGTCACAGTGGCGGAAGCATTTAGCTTCTCTTTGGCAGTAATCGTTTCCCTTACTTCCACTGATTTATGTTCAACAACTTTAGTTTTAGCGGCTTCATCGCTTGATGAGGCCTCCGAGCTCTCGGGAAAGTCAATTAGTTTCGATCTCGCTTTTGCAGCTGCGGCGCGTTGAGGCCTAGGCATCTCTATCGTGCAATTATTGAGTGCGGAAGTGAAGGTTTGAGGGTTTGAGGGTAAGTTCCGGGACTGGGAACTGTAGCGTAGACAGACAGGTACCGACAGGGGAGACGCGTTGATTGATACACGAACTTGTGCCCTCAAAGCGCCCCAATATCGATAGCGAAGTGTATATATATGAAACTTACACCGAAGAGACACTAATGAGTTCTCGTGGGAATATAATAAAACCTACACGCTCAGGTTTTCCAGAAAATTATAGTTGAACTCTTTTCCTTTTTTGCAATATGGCTTTAGTCATATATTGAAGCCCTAACCCTACAAATCAACGTTGGCACTAGTGGGGAGTGGCCAGCTTTGGACTCTATTACACTGGAGGACAACACATATATGTATATATAAAGCCTATATTGGGGAGCTTAATTGGTCTTGGATATATAGATGCTACAAACCCGGGTCTTCTTATAATGATGCAGGTTTCGCGGAAGTATCTGGATGCTAGTTCCGAACACTGAGTGATCACCTATGATCGAGAGCACTGAGGACAAAGACAACCGGTACCACGATTCTAGGAATTATTTTAGGGGTAATTTCTACTCTGTCTAATCTCGCAACTAATATATTACCTAATCTGTAGCTCACTCGCTTACCGAATCTTGATGTATAAACCAATTAATAAAATCTTTCCGGATTAGGTACCGGCTCTATATATAAGTTCCTAACTGGAAACTATTTGACCACCCGGCCGGCGAAAGGTTATTCGGGTCTTCTAGTCACCCTCATGGAAAACATCCAAACATTGTTTTTATAAATTCCGTGGCATTGTGATACTGTTGAATTGTCTGGTTTTTATTGCGCGTGCAATTAAACATCAGGAATTGACGCTATGAGTACCTTGCTAGATTTTGAGTCTTCGCTTGTTCCTCTTAATCATGGATTGTGTCAAGTATTGTTTGCTTTCCTTTTAATTAACCGGTTACAAAACACTTCACATATATAGCTATCAGCTTATCAAGAAGACTTGATTACTCGGATTAGAAACTCACGGCACATGATTAAATAGAGTACCATTCCGTGAAACAATAACCTAAAGTAACATGTTTTGACGGAAACCGAAATCTTAGTCACGATTTGTTCGTATGTAAAAGAAAGTGTAGAGGAAGCTTAAGATGAACTGCAATATGAGTTCACAAGGCGGGGGGCGAGAAATCCAAGGGCCTTAAGAGGGGCGGAGAACACCGCAGCCATGTGGGAAGGGTGGGTTAAAAACTGTTAAATAAGCTTTTGGTCTATCCTATAGGCCTAAGTTGCCGATTGATTGATTGATTGATAATTCATTAATTGCATGGGTTGCCGATTGAGGTTTTGACATAGTTTCGAACGAACCTGCCCAGTTTAATTATTAAACAAAAGCTTAGATTAATATTATGCTGAAAAATTCTGTCGGGGCTTCTGATGGCAAAACAGCCCCAGCACTCTGGGCCGTACTGCCCGAACATGTCTCCGGTAGAAGTTGAGAAGTGCACTACCCGGTATGTCCACCCTCAACCATCCAGCTGCAGACATCATGAAAACATGTATACATAAGATAGATGACAGTATTATGTATCAATCAAGTCTCATTTTCTCCTGTAATTGCAATATGAATGACTTATTCAACCAATAGCAATGAGAACTTGACCGAGTGATAATCCATGAATGTATCCACAGTTAATAAATACTGATAATCTCTCATACTCGCGTGCAACCGTGATGTTATGTCGATGTTCAAGGGATTACCTCTGTCCTCATTCGAGCAAGTGGCTGGGGGAAACTTCCAAAACCCAGCCCAACCGGCAAGATGGGTATACCAGGTGTGGGGGACACGGGATTCGAACCCGTAACCAGTTGCTCAACAGTTAGGTTTCGAATTCCTGCAGTCGGTAAGTGAATATCGCCGGAGGTCACTCATTTCACTTAGATAAATATGTTTCTTCTTTTTGAGCAAATGAATGCTTGATTAGAACTTCTCAGACTCCTTCCTCTATAAGAGTTTTATGATCTCACTACTACATGTAGTATATACATGCATGTGCGCAACCCCACACGAATAAATCCAAGTCACATGTCATATGGCATTGTTCCGAGCAATCATTCAAGAGCATAGTCCACAGGTAGCTTTTAGGCCGTGTGGGAAGAGCTCGAGCTGAGCCGTTATAAACACTCATACCCAACAATACTTGGAAGGGTGGGTACTAGGGGGTATATTAGGAAATTTTTTGAATTTCGGGTGGCCGTTTGTTAACTACATGTAACTACATAAGTTCATAAAATAAATTTATCAAATCTACTGATTAAGTTACTTTTGGTACTATTTTTTAGATATTGTCATAGCCTCCGGGCTACAAATAATTAATTACTCAATCATTACTGATGAAGTTCATGGATCATCACTCGATCCCCTCGGGGGTCATAGTAAAGTAACACGTAACTCCGCATATCAACCACAACCCAACACATAATAGCCGACCTGAACCGGACCGCCTCAGGGCGGGAACTCGTCTAATCCCCACCTTATCTCGTCTTTATCATTACAGGTATTTTCATAAGTAACTAAGTCCTATCTACACAAACCCATCCGCTGAAGTCTATTAATACGACCTAACACTCGCCGCAACACAGTTATGGCCGCTCTTGTAATAAAACAAAGAAGAAAGAGAAACAAAAAGTAGAATAGAAACATAGTACCATAATTTCCCCAGAATCACCTTGCATTCCCATTGACATGTTTGCCCGTCGTAATCTATCCCAATCCTGGCCTAACTCGTTCCCCAAGGTATTATAACCTTACGCCGCGTAGAAAAGAAAAAAAAAATAAGAAATAAGTAAAGGAGAAGGAAGAGAAAATGGATCCTCCATGGTCCATCTGCCTCACACGCCTTATTTGGGGTGCATCCTTTAAGGTCCGAGTGATATAGATACGAATAATAAAACAAGCTAGATCGTTGACAGAAAAGTAGCGCAAAGTGATGCTGATATAAACCGATGTTCACAAATTCGACAAATCTTGGTCCTCTAATTGTCTTGTTAGCGAAACTACTTCTGAAAAATATAATAAAGGAATGGACACTCTACCTTTTTGCACCGTAATTATACACTATTACTATAACCATGACTCACACCAAAATTTCCACTCATCCCGCCTCGCCTCTTCATCCATTTCCTCCCTTCATCTACACAGAGAACAGTGCTAGCAAGTAATACCAAGGAGAAAATATCCCTGAATCCTAATGCCTCGGTCTGGAAGATCTCCTGTAACCCAGGCATATAGACCACTGCCGCCTGTCCCATCAAGCAGCCGGCGACTGCAAAATTGAACATTTTATTCGAAAAAATATTAACCTCACCCCTGAATATTGATTTCGACTCAGACCTGCAGGAAAGTGCGAGAATCATGTCAAAAAGAACAAAGCTGGTGAAAGTCATCGTTGTATCACGACGAGTAACAACACCATCTTTCATTTCCATAGTGTAGACAAACATTGTGCCCATGACAATTGTGAATGCAGATGTCATGATTCGAATAAGAACAGGTTTAGTCAGGATTTGCTCGCTGCGGGAGCGAGGAGGCCGCGTCATGACAGCTGGATCAACGGGTTCAACGCCGAGAGATTGTGCGGGAGGACCGTCCATCAAGATGTCTATTTAAATAAAAGTTAGTAAAAATGCGTACATGCAGTTGAAGGTATTGGAGAAAATGTAACATACTGATCCACAGGATTTGCATTGGGTTGAGAGGGTTGCTCAATCCAAAGAAGGTACATAGCAGCACCAAACTTAATGCCGCAATGCTTGTGCTAAGCTGGAAGGTCAAAAAGTTCTGAATGTTGTAGAAAATCCCCTTGCCCTCTTCAATTGCAGTAAGAATAGTAGAGAAGTCGTCATTACTTAATATCATGTCGGCCGCCTCTTTGGCCACATCTGTTCCCTGTAGACCCATACTTATGCCTATATCTGCCATCTTGAGAGCAGGGGCATCGTTGACGCCGTCTCCAGTCATTGCTACCACATCGCCTCTAGATTGAAGGGCGCGGATGATCTTCATCTTATGTTCTGGCGAAGTGCGGGCGAATATAGATGTAGTGGCGATCGCTTGAGCTAGTTGCGAGTCCGTCATGTTGTCGAGGTCTTCACCTTTCAGAACAGGCCTTACAATGCCGCCAGGACCATGGTTGTCTGGAAGAACATGCATCCCCAATTTCCTTGCAATGGCTACGGCTGTTGTCTCCGAATCACCAGTGATCATAATTACCTTAACACCTCCACGCATTAAAGATCGAATAGCTTTTTTAACACCCTGTCTAGGTGGATCGTTCATGCCAACCGTACCGGCAAAGGTAAGGCCAGTGTAAGCCGAATCGTTATCGCCTTCTAAGCTGGTATGGCTGGTTCCCGAATTTGGTCTGGAAGAGACAGACCCACTCGCAAATCCCAACACTCGCAAACCCTCCTTCGCCATCATTTCGGCATTTTCCTTGGCAAGCTTCTTTTGCGCATCATCCATAGGCGCCTCTCTGCCATCCTTTGTAAGGTAAGTATTGCACCTTGCGAGGACTTGTTCCAGCGCTCCCTTAATATATGCTTTTTGTCCGCCTATATCACCGCCACCAACAATAACACCCATCCATTTGTTTTCTGAAGAAAATGGAGACTCTGATACTCTTTGGCTTCTCTCCCTTACATCTACTTCTTCAAAGGCGTCCATCAAGTCGAGTAACGCGACATCAGTGGCTTGGCCAACAAACCTAGAATTAGGACCGTTATCGCCTGTCATTCCAATTGAGGTTGTTGCAGCTGCAGTGCCCAAAGAAGAAAGGCGTGCGTTATTGCAAAGATTGCCAATTCGTATAACAGCGCTCAACGTGGGGTCGTTGAAACTATCAGATAATAAAGCGGATTTCTCCATAGGTTCAGTGAACGATGGTGTCCAAATCTTCGTAACAGTCATATGGTTTGTTGTGAGAGTC